GATCATAAGCCCCTTTTCCCGTCTCTCCAGTAAGGTCAACGCTCCCTTTAGGCCGAGGCCTCTTCGCCTTCGAGGAAACATCAGACAGAGACAAAGCAGCTATGGTCGGAGTCGAAGACGACCCACCTGATCCAGGAGCAGGAACTGGCCCTGCGCTAGTCTGTGCATCCTTCTTGGCCTTTCTCGCCCGAGCAGCGAGTGTCTTGGCCAAACGTTCTTGAGCAGGATTCATATTTTCTGCAAAACAAAGAAAAAACAAGAGTCAATAAAACGAAGGGTCAAACAAACGATGACCACATACTGGAAAAAGAAAATTTGTACCCAGATATCTAACGGGATCCTCGCTCCCAAGGAGCTCCTAAACGTTTATGAGACTCAGCTCGAACACGGGCTCTCCGTTTCTATCCAACACTGGTCTACCTCCCCGACCGACTCGTTGGACCGGAGGAATTCGAGCTACAAACGAGGTCAAAGTGGTGAGGCTCGACAGGTCCTCATCCCCAAGCTCCCCCTCTCTCCAGACATAGGAGCCCAGCTCCTTCTCGAAATGTCTGCTAGTCCATTGGTACGAGAACTTGGCGACCAGCGTCGCGGTAGGCTCCCCCAGCTCGTTAATATAAGGAATCCCATCCTCGTTGAGAGACGACCGGCTCCTAAAAACATTCAGCAATGCCTTCATCGATGTGGGCTGCATCAAAATGTACTTGTCCTTAAAATGGCGCGCGGACTCCAAGTAGGCCTTGAATAACTTCCCGTTGCTCTGTTTGAGGGAGACCCATCCCCATTGTCCGCCAGTCCTTCTCCTCTGGATGTGAAAACAATAGAAGAACTACTGGATCATGGCCCCAATCTTCAGATAGTCGCACACTATCTGGAACGCTCGCACGAATGCAATCCCCTTCGGGTGCAACTGGGAGGGGGCCATATGTAAATTCCAGAAAACGTCCACTTCGAAGTCAGAAAAAGGAAGGCGGAGACCCATCTCCCGGAAAACTATATCATACATAAGAATCCACATCCTATCATATCTTGAGCAGATCCTACTGTCATTCCCGGGGATATACAACGACCACTCCTTCCAGGCTCCCTCCTCGTGGATGTAAACATCGATGAAACATCTTCCCCATGCTCATAAAAATATGACCGCCACTCCCAAGGGTCTTTAGCTACCCAATCTTGAGGATCCTCATCATCTCGAGGAGGAAATAGGCCGCCCCGAGCCGAAGAGGTCGCCCCCATGTCGGGCTCCCCCATCTGTTGAGCCATCTGGTTTTGCTGCTCCCTAGAAATTTCAAATATGCTCGACGAGCTACCACTAGTCTCGCTCGAAGAGCTCTTGGAGGATTCCGTAGACTCGCTCGAAATGACAACATGTGCATTGTCAGCCATAACACCTGAAAATCAGAGGAAAATGGTGAGCTCGACATCAATGCCATAACCACCCTTCCACCACTAAACATGTGAAAGGATGCTGAGATACGAGGATTCTATCCCCGACCAGAACCCTCACTGAGGTACGTTGCCAGGCACAAAATGTAGAAAAAGCCCAGGAGTTCCCTGAGGTACTCTAACAGGAACAAGTTGCAGAAAAACTCAAACCCTAACAGATCACCTATAACACAATGCCAGACCCCTGAGAGAGCTCCACGGCGGCTCCGACAGCCATGCACCGTAAGAACGACGTCCGCCACCTAGGGTCTCTAATGATCTCCTCCATAACGGAACCCTAAATCCTAACCATATGCATATCTCAGAGGCAAAAAATGAAAGCGCTAAAACATGCAACAATGGTGGAACGAAAACTCATCAAGAGAAGAAGAAGAGACAAAGCTGGATGACCGCGAATGAAGAAACTGAGCAAATGCTGGTGGTCGACTGTCGAGCTAATATGAGCAGTTAAAGGAGAAGGCGAAAAATACTAATCACCTTGTTCATCTCGTATTTATAGTTGAAACGGACCACACGTACCAAACACGTGCCTTGGGAACACCATGGGTCGTCATCATGACACCCTAACCCTAGGCCATCATTTACGCCGCTCGATTGTCACGTTTCCCAAAACACACTGCCTCTCCAAATTCAACGGTCCCAACAGCAAACATTTTGCCTCCCCCGACAAAGAGGTATAACGGGAAAACGCTCATTTCCCCGTCCTTCGAGCAGACATCAAAGTCTTCACTCATGTGTCCAGAAGTAACGACTTGGGAGGCTACTGTTCTAGACTGGCCCGAAATCTTGAGTGGGACCAGTCTAAGACATCTCATAGGTACCACCCATCGACCGTGACCAGGACTGCCCGCACCTGTCGGGCAATACCATCCTCTTGCCCTCTTGATCTGGCTCTAATCCAAGATACCTGTCGAGCATCTTCTCAGTCTTCCCGACTCCAGCGTCGTGCAGACCACCAGGGACTGACCAGAGAGATACTCGCAATCAGCCTCCTCCCCGGAACCAACGGCTAGTTACAGGCACAACTGCCCGGTTTGACCAAGTCCTGGCAGTTACTTGATATTCTGGACCCGCATATCTAGGCGGGAAATCTTGAACCAATGGCCATGCGCCAGGGGAAATAAATAAATCCTCACACCTGTGAGGGCCAGGTATCACATACTTACTACTCACTAGCTAATATTTTGCTAGTACCTTCTTGCTCCCACCCTTACTTGATCGTTAGAGTACCTTGCAGGTACAACTCCCTCTCTCCTATGCCCGACTGAAGATCATCCTCCGGCCACTCTCCAGGTTCCGATCAACCGCAAGATTAGTTGAGATGAAATTTTTGTATACTTATAATAGCTTATCTAGTGATAGTTCATATATCGGTCTGCATAATGATATTGACACTAACTTGGTGTCTTCTTCCTCAAGACTAACTGACACTATCATGACGCTCTCAACTTCCAAGCATAATGCTTTTTAATATAAAGTCTTGAATATCGACTCATTATGACTTGAAGATGACTGAGTGTAAGCCTATTAGGCATGTCTGAATTTTTCTCACACTAGAAACAAGGCCGAATTGATATTGAATGCTTGTATGATAGGAGAAAAGGCTTATATATTACATCCTCAGGGGGCAAAGGGTGAATATTTCTATTTATATATTGGGTCAAAGTTGGCTTTAGGGTTTTCATTCTATTTACCATATTTCAATCCACTATTTTGAGGATCGTCATTGTTGCCACTCCTAGATCCACCTAAACAATTGGGATTTTGTCCAAATATTTGTGATTTGCTACTGGGACATAACATCATGCCCAAGGTGGGTATATTTTTCTCATTCTATGAGACAAACGATGTAAACTGGGGAATATGAGTTTATGTGGGAACCATCTTTAGGCGGGATTTTCTCTCCCCTTATTCTTTCAACTACTTGCACTAGAAATATAAGTTTGTTAATGTTAAGAGTTGTTATCATTTCCCAAAATATATGTGTAAGCAGGATGGTACCTATAAGTTTACTCTTTATTGGATGGTAAAGCCATTTTCTATCATGGTTATGACACATAGAAACTTAGTGAGGCGGAGAAGGAAGAGGTTGACCTATTGGAACAATTCTGTATTATGGGGTGAAAGATCGATTGCAGAATGAAGGGGATCTTCCAGAGTAAACGGGTTTCCTGGGTAAGGTGTCATTTTAATATTTTGCTCTTATTTATATATTTTTGTTCTTAATTTTGATAATTAGTTTATGTTCTTGCAGAGATAATGGCTCATATTTCTGTGGAGTAGGGAAAATAGATGACAGAGAAGGCAAAGAATTGTAGCGGCAAAGTGGTATCCAACCATCAAAGTGGCTCAACGAGTGTCCAAACGAGAGCAACTGAGAATAGAAAGAATGCTTTGGAGGTAAAAGTCGTTAAGGCTATTCCCATGACTATTGTACAACCACCTCCCATTTTTAAGAGTGTGAAGTCTCCTTTTGCAAAAGAAAACAAGGTGGATCTCGATAAGAGGTCGATTGAGTTGGAGGACACTACTTATATATAGATCTGGAGGTGGGAATATTCTTATACCACTTATATAGAGTTAGATTTGGATTTGGACGCAAAATGTATTTGTAAAAGTACACAAATGTAATCTTACTAGTGGTAATTATTAAATTCTCATTTTAAGTAAGGATGATTTGCATATGGATTTCTTGCCCTTATCCTTTGAGGATCATGAGTTTATGTACGACTTCAAGCAGTTTGTGACTTTAAGACTCATCGATTGCCATCGAGGCCATTTTTGCTTTGATTCAGTGAGACCGGTTAATGGTAATCAAAGCCACGGTTCTATTTCTTGAACCTGGTGGTTCGTCCTTACTAATTTCTCTTAAATGTATTATCTTTGTGTTAAAGTCTCTTAATTCGGTTGTCTCCCTTATGTTGGTGTTGGTCTGATTTCATGGATGTGGTATGTTAACTAAGCTATCTTGCGCTTACTATCTTATGGTAAACTCTTGTTACTTTTAGGACAGGTTCTTCCATCTTTGTCAAGAGCTGCCTAGAGCCAAACATATTTCTAGGATGTGTTCTATATTCTATTTTTGAGTCACTTTGTCAAAAATAGACTTAAATAATGTGATTGTTGAATTAGATTCATATAAAATTATTGTGCTATTAGGTGAGGTGTGAGGCAAAGAGCATCAATATTCTCATATTAATTCTCATATATATGGATTGTTGGTCGCTAGTGTTAATTCACTATAATTTTTATAAATTATTCGCACGTGTTTGATTTAAATACAACTACATAAAATGTAAATCTATAATATAGGAAAATTCAATCTACCCAAAAATTCTGTTTTGTCCTTTTGTTCCTAAAACACAACACGTGGCTTCATGTGTGTTAGGCAAACCAAATTTTTGTTCCAACCAAAATTTTCTTCCACAATTAATCCCTTTCTCCCTATTCTTTATTTCATCGAACCTTAAAATTGCCGATTACACAACCGTTCATTTCCACTTCTCCTCATTCCACTACCTCCCTATGGCGGGTACATTTTTTTATCAGTCATGGTATTGAGGGAGCGTTTCAATGTTGTAAGAACTGTTTTTCTTTCAAACTTCTTCCTCCTCATCTTCCTTCTTCCTCTTCACGGCGATGGGCAGTTTGAAAGTGGTAGATTCTTTATCGAAGAAGAACATGAGATCAAAAAGGGGAATAGGGCTACGGTGGGTGTGGCCTCCGGTTTGGATGTGATTGAAGCGATCCTCATGATTGATTGCAGAAAGGGTGTGTTTTGGGTAGTTGGTGGCGAAAGGGTAATCTGTGATACGGGGTTTGTGTCTTTCACAGAGACATCAACATGCTTCCCAGTGAGTTGTTCTAACCATTACTCTTTTCATGTGTTGTCTCTTTGTTCTATAATAGCATCATTGACTATCAATTGTGAATTTATATATCTCTAATTGAACTTAGGGGAAATAGTTTTTTATGGTTGAAGTTGTCATTGCTAGGTGTTTGCAGAAAGGCCATAGACAAACTGAGTTTGTAATGAAATTAGTGATTTTAGACTTTCTGTAGTTAATATGTGTGATACGAACACTTCGTGTCATTGCGATTTAATTCCTTTTCCTATTTTACTATACATTTTAGCATGACAATGTAAAATGTATAATTACATAGCCGTTATCATCGTTGGATGACTCTTTATCTGTAAGTGATGGATAAAAGGTGCGCCCAACATTATGCAAGCAGCAAAAGTAACTATTAAATATGCTGCATTTTGTTTCCTTTCTTTGGAAGGAAGCGGAGGCCTCAATATATTGGAAGTTTCTGACAAGATTCAGGTTTAACTATTCTTTTTGTGTCTTATTTATTCATTTCTTATCATACCTATTCAATTTTCTCATTCTATTCTTTTGTTATTTAGATATCTGGACTTCGTCATCTTACAACTAGCAAAACACCAGAGGCTTCCATATCTTCTGCTTTGTCTAGGGATACAAAACTATTTGAAAATACAACTCCTTCAACATATTGTGTACGTCCCACATACAGAAAGGATCCTGCTGATTCTGAAGCAATTTATTTAGCTACTAGGGAGAATGGCGCGATATTCGAAAGTGGGCTCGTGGGTGCAGAAGTAGTTATTGTTGTTGCTCGCAAACACTATTCTCCCCAGTTAACATGTAAGGAATAAATGTGTGAACCATACCGGTACCCATGAAAACGCACAGATATCCTATTAGTTAAATAATAAAATTTTCAAAATAAAATTTAAAATAAAAATTTACAAATTTTAAATTTAAATTAAATTATTTCTAAAGATAAAATCAATTATATTTAAAAGAAAAAATATATCAAAATAATTTTACATATTCAAAATTAGTTTTAAATATCCGAAATTTGAAATAAAACATATAGCGTCTAGTTCACGTGATTCTCTAATGCAATTTTAGTACTAGTAATTTTCAAAGAAAAAATATGAGTTTTTATTTTGAACAAGATTATTAAAACTTCAAATTATTCCTAAGTGCAATTAATAATGGACCAACCTATCAAATAGCAATTTTAATGAATGGACGAATTTTCTAAAAATAATAAAAATAATAATACTAGAATTATAGTAAGAAATAAAAAAGATTCTCTACATCTGAACTTACAGAAAAAGAAAGCTAGTAACGCCGTTACCACAGACGTGCTGTGCTGGCATACCATTTCTTTCGGAAGAGAGATAAAGTGCTTGATGGAGTGTGGGTCCCACGACGGATGGTCCTAAAATCGATGTTGACGTCTGAATCCCCTTCCTCGTTGATCTTCTCTCAAACAGGCCCCTCTTTTGTGGGGCCCACGTGGCAACTCATCTCTACCCTCTTCTTCCTCACTCTCGCATCTAGAGAATGTAACAACACGCGCTCTATTTACTCGCCACCTGTTGTACCGCAATTGTAACTGCCTGTGGTTGCTCGTTGTTTGTTTTCTCCGTGTGACTTTGGCGCGTGCTGACCGAAGTTGACCATTAATATTTTAAAATTTTAAATATAATTTTATTATTTTTATTGTATTTAAAATTTTCTAATTATAATAATTTTAATATGTGGTCTTAAGATATTTATTAACATGACTTTTATTATATATTTATAATCGAATTTATTTGATATAAATAGAAATTAACTCTTAACTCTAGAAAAATATAATAAATAATAAAAATAATTACGGTTGGTGTGAGATGGGTTATTCCGAATTTACTTTTATTTTTTAATTTTTAATTTGCTTATTATTTTTTTTAAATCTATGAGTCACGAGAGTTACAATTTTTCATCTGAAAAATCTTATATACTAATTTGGATATTTGCTTTTGTTATTTGAATCCAAAAATAATCATTTTCAAAATTATATTAATCAAATTTGCTACTACTGTATATACTTCATGGATTTATATAGCTTTTTACTGTATAATAATTAACCTTCTGTTTTCTTTTTAAATTGGTAGCAGAAAATATAACATAAGTAGAAATAACTTTTTAAAAGCAAAGAAAGTGAACACTAAAATAAACAAGCCTGAGTGGGAGAGAAAAAAGGAAGTGCAATTTTAACATGAAAGAATAAATGATAAAGTTACAACTATGTCGTGTCACTCTTTTTTTTTTTTGGATTGAATATCTTTTTCTTAATCTACTGTATTTTTAGTAGAAATTATGGATAATTTTATTTTTGCTGAGATGACATTATTAATACAGAGACTATTTTTAATTAAAAAACAAAATAGATTGAAGTATGACCGCAAGAAAAGCTTTGGGAGTAGTGTTATATATAAGTTTTAAGATATAATATTATTTTTAAGTTTATCATGTATATAATTTAATATATATGTATATCCATGACGAATAAATTATAAATATTTATTTTATTACATCATTTTTTTACTTTTCCAAATTTAATTGCGTCATAATAAGACAATATAATTTAATTGATAGTGTTTTATTTAAATGCAATTTTAATTTCTATATTTTAAAAAATAAAGTTTTAATTATTTTATTTTAAAAATAACTTATTTTATTTTTAATTTTAATTTTAAAATTTTAGTCTCTCATCCTATTTTAGATTTAATTTTATGGATATGGCTGTGTCAAAATGAATAAACTTAATATTTAATTATTTATATTATAGTGTAAGAATAATTGTTGTTTAATTATAATTTTGATTTTTCTATTTTATTTTATACATGAAAGTTATTTCTTTATTTTAAATTTGAAAATTTTTAATTTAATTTTATATTTTTGCACTTAAGATTATTAATATTTTTATTTTTTAAATGATAAATTTTTTGAACATGTAAATAAATTTATTATAAAATTTTATAGATAAAAATATAAATTTAAAAACAATTATTTCATTAATTTTCTATAAAAAAAATATAAAAACAGACCAAAACGGTTAGAATAAAAAAAAATACTTTTATAAATAAAAATTCAAAACTTAATTTTAAAATAACGAGATATAAAAAGTATATGGAAACTTTTTTTTTAATGTGGGTCTGAGATTTTATGATGAGAAGTTGATTAACTACTAAAGGATTGAAGCTCTATTTCAAAAACTGGTGTGTGTTTTCAATAAATGGAATTCCATGTACATGAAGTTAATTGAGCTCATGAGCACATGTTTAATTGACCCTAATGTTTGCTATCTTTGCTACATTATTATATTAATTCATGATGTTTGTAATAATCTAATGATCATAATTGTTCATGATGTTTTGATATGAGAGTGTTTTTAAAACAATATCTTCTAGAGGAAAAAAAAGCTTTATTTTTTACATAAAAAATTAGCAGTAGAATTAGTTTCAAGTATAATATTTTTCATTAATTGTTTTACAAAATCAATTAAAATTATTTAAAAACTTACTTCTAGTTCTATCTTATTGATCAAGATTGTGAGATTCTTTAATAATATCTTTGACACATTTGTCATAACACATTTTAGAAGGGTGGAGCATAAATACGGCTATCCACTTTGCTTGATATAGCAATATAAATTCTAAAATTCTTTCTTGAAAAGGATTATGCTTCACTTGCAAGATAAATTAACGTTTGCAACAACTCTTAGATTGATATTTTCTTATAAGTACAAGCAAGTGTGGGAATATAACTTTTCTAAATACGAAATTCAAACTTAAAATAAGTTATTTAAAAAGAAATTTAAATAATCATTTTTTCAAAAAAAATATTAAAGTAATTACTTTTTAAATAAAAAAAATCGTCACACATAAGTCAAGTCATTCTGTGTGACGCATACCTGTAAATTAGCGAGAAGGCGTCACACTACATAGTTTGTTCTTCTATGTAGTGTTATGCAGTATGACATATACATGTAATTTTCAGGAGGAGATGTCATATTAGATGACTTGACAGTTATTGTTATTAATTTTTTTTAAATAATAATAAAAATATTTTATATTAATATTTTAAATTACACAATACGTAGATACATATTCTTACGGACGTCCCCTTCAACCTAAGTGCGTCTCTATATGACATAAACGCCTCTGTCTTTACCTCATCCCTTGCCTCACCATTCTCTGTTGAATTCTCTGAGGTGTTTGGGGTCTGTTCTGACTCGCTTGATGATGAGGTGCTTGATGTGATGGTCCTGATATATTAGAAACATACATATCTTCGATCATTTTTCCCTATTGTACTGTTCTTCCAAAGAGATCGATGTCCATGTTGTTGAAGTTTGGTCTTGTTGGTCGAGATATGTGTGAGTGGGGGTGGTTGATAGAATTTGGATGTTGACATTGTTGTTGGGTTTGATATTGTTGAGGGATTGGATGTTGGAGTTGTTGGTGGACATATGATGCAGCTCTTTGACGTGAGTCGATCAAATATGTCTCATGAGACAGAAACAAATTTGTTGAAACCGATGTGTACCATGTCAAATATTGGAGAGTTGGTTTTAAATCATCCTGTGAGATCGGCTCTCTTAGGATCAATTCACGTCAATACCTCCATTGACGACATTGATTTCTAGCGAAGTCTCTCAAATCATTAATACCAACAATTATTAAGCCATCTAATATGACGCCTCCTCCTTAAAATTACATGTATGTACCACACTGCATGTCATTACATAGGAAGACACACTATGTAGTATGACGTCTCCTCTCTAATTTACACATATGTACTATACAGAGTGACTTGATCTCTGTGTGACAAATCTTTTATTATTTGAAAGTGATTATTTTGATAATTTTTTTAAAAGAAATATATTTAAGATTTTTTTTAAAAAAAAATAGTTATTTAAAAAAAATTCTAAAAACTCTATCACAAATTATAAACTTAGGCTTTGATTTATTTTTTTTATGAAAGTGAACTTGAACTTTGCAAAATAATATAACCCAATATTATTTTTCTTTAAGTGCAAGTCTTATCCAAGAGGGTACACACGGCGTCGGTATTGCTCAAAAAGTAAGGCGACGTTGAACAATGGACATAGTTGAACCAAAAAAATAATGAGCCAGGGGACATTATATAGATATTAGTTTTTAAAGTCAAATATGAATGATGAAAAACAATCAAATATGTTATTTTTTCTTTTCTTCACCATGTTATGTACTATGTATAACATTTTATTGTCTAATCCAACTTATTTTTTCTTTTCTTCATCATGTTATGTACTATGTATAACATTTTATTGTCTAATCCAACTTTCTTATTTAATTTTATTATATGCATTTGAGAGACTCTGCATCTTATAGGTAAGTAGAGTATTACGTGAGAGATCTTGTATGTAAAATTAGAGTTTTCTTTGGAGGTACTGATATGTAAATAATAGTTGATCTTTTTTATTCTTTTATTTATGTATTTATAGTTGTCTTGTCTTATTCAATTTTAATATCTTTGATCGTTATGATAATTTTTTTTTTTTATGATCACTTAGTGTCTGATTTCTTCTTTGTCTGAGTTCAATTATGCATAACTCTTGTCTATATCTGTAACGTCCGTTAATTTAATTAATTATTTAATTAAATTAATTATTGATTAATAGTTAAAAATATTGTTGAAATTATTGAAGTTGCGAAATGTCGAGAAATATTGATTTAAGTTGTTAAGTTGTTATTTGGTTGATATTTAATTGATTGGTTGATCAATATTAGCAATAATATTAATATAGATATTAGAATAAAATAAGGTTTATTAG